TGGGTGGTTTAGGTATCCACCTGGCTGAAGAATTTGCATAGGAGACAGTGCATGAAGTATAATGTGAGTAGATAACTTCCTGTTCCAAAATAGGTTGAGTGGCATAAATTCTGAAGTGCTCAGCACTAAGGCATTGCAGCAATACATGTTTCAGTATTCCTGGTAACAGGGCTTGAATGAAATGCTTTGTCCTCTAAAAATTAATAAATTATTTCCTCCTTCCTATACTCAGTCAACATATAGGCATGTAATCTGCCTTTGAACCTTGTTATCTGTTGCTAAGATGTGGATCGTGTTTCCAGCTGTTGCCAATTCCTGCAATTTCCTTTGAAGCATTGAGTTAGCCTGTCGGGCAATGACCTGAGAAAAACAATACTATCTACTGATGCTTTTCATCACACTGAGTCAGTACCACAGAGGATATGTTTTTTCTAGTCTAGCTTTTTCTGGTCATAAAACAAACCCTTGTTCCATTACTGACTAGTTCTGGTGTTTAAGTCCAAAATTTCCTCTCTCCGACTAGTGAATATATAGATCTCCAGAAATGGCTAAGGGTTAACTAGAAATGATGATGAGAACAGGGAATTTGAATATAGGAAGGAAGTGACATGCAAGTCAAATGTATGTTACTTTTAAACGCTAATAAAGTTGGTACTTATTCAAAAGCTCAGACTTTGAAGTGCACTGGATAGAATCCTTCAGTGGGGTATGAATTTTGGTTGTGTGCTGAAAATAGCTGTGTCTGGAGAAGGCTGAACTCAAGTCCTGGTTAAAGACTTCATCTTAGAATCTGTATGTTAAAAGCTTCCATCAAAAAGCCTTTCAGCTCTGCCCCAGTCGGACTAGGCTGCAGAATACCGGGATGTATTTTGTCACTTTCTGTGTTGCACTTATTTCCTGAAGGGAGTGGGGGGATTTTCGGCATGTCAGTAATTTGCAATGAGGTTATTGCTTAAAGGAAAGTGCCATATGTCTCGATGTGCTTCAGAATCCCCCTGGATTTTGAGGAAAACCAGTATTTGTGTCCATCAGTGCTCTCAGTGATCATGAGAGTTGTAGAAAGCTGCCAGCTGAGGTGGCTTTAGAGTCCTGTGTTTTGCAGAAATCGACACAGAGAGATGCTTGCTCGGTTTACTGAGCTTTAATGGAGCTATTTTAGGACCTGGAACTCCTGCTCATCAGCCACATACTTCTGGGCTAAATCATTCTCTCACCATATTGTTTTCAATTAAGCTATTCTGTCTCTAATGGATTGTGGGCATTGTAGAGTAAATCACTGGTTTGAATGAACAGACACCTGACTTGTTCCTACATAATCTCTAGCTTTATGTATTTCTGATATGGGATCATACAACGAGCCTATACGTAGGCTAAAGAGAAGTTTGCTCTTTGTTTCTCTTGTCTCAAGACTATTGCCTAAACCCTCTCCCATCTGCTTGGCAAAGATGATATGAAGTGGTTGTACTCTCCCTGGACACCACATCCGGGATAGTTTTGTTCCTCTAGACTTACAGAAATATTGCTACAATAGTAAAGGCACTTGTGAGTGAGATTTAGCCTGCAGGACACTTGCTTCTGGTGTGTCATTCCTTCCCACAGAAGTCACTGAAAGCACAATAAAATAGGAGGTATTACCTAGGCAGCCAAGCAGCACCATAATAGGAGATAAACAGAGATCCAGGATGCTTGTGGCTGCCAAAAGGAAGGATGGAGGGGGGGAAGGAAGAAAATGTACTCCAGGTAAAGTAGTCATAGCTGCTGTTGTTTGAGAGTGCTGGTATCTCCCAGCAGTAGTGCCAACATGATGAGGGTATCTGCTTGCACAGGAAGGAACTGTGAGCAGGAAGGGGTTGAGACAAAGCCAGCTGTAGGTCCCTGGAATGGGGGAAGACCAGCCTGGGTGTGTGTGGAGGAAGAAATCTTAAAATCCAAGCTGACTGACACAGCTCCTGTCTGATCCTTCATGTAGGCAATAAGGAGGGTCATAAGGAAATCATGACACAGCTGCAGGAAAGCTCTCATTCCCCTTCAGCTGGACCATTCCTGTAGAACATGACTGTGCTCTAAAGGAAAAAAAAAGCCCATGTACCACTTCTCTGACCAAGATCAATACGTATTTTTCCCTTACTTAGCAACCCTACAGGCCTGACAGCTGTGTCTAAAATCTGCAACCAAACTCTCACCAGGCCTCAGTTTTGTTGACATTATGTGATTCTGTCTTCAGTCCTGAAGTGTCCCAGTAAGGACAAGTTTCACTGGGGTTTGGGACCCTCATTGGACACAAAGTTGTCTTCAGGACTCTTTACAGTACAGGTTATGAATGAGAGCATTCTTTAGCCAGGGAATGATGGTGAAGATTTCGGGGTGTCTGCCAGTATTGGAAGGTGGCCTCTTGGCCAAACTGTTTCACTGTAAATGTTAGCTGGTTTTGCTCTTCATATTTTTATCTCTCTGCTTATAAACCCAGGTTTCCTCTACACAACAGCAAAAGCCTCTGAGGGAAAAGAAAAGGAAAGTTACAACAATTTCCTGTTAGAAATCTTTTAAGATTAACCAAAATAGTTTAATCATAAACTGTGTTGTGGAAGTGTTAAAATTCAATTATTCTTACTAGAAGAGATCCTCTTTCCCTCTTAAAGGAAAGCTTTGGATCTTTCACAGATTAAAACTCCCATCTTCAGCTGCTGTTTCTGTTCTTGACAGTTCACTCTCTGATTATGACAGATGAGGCAAGTAAAACTTAAGCAGTCCACATTTGCTGGTGGTGAGGAAAAAAATATTTATCTGGGTGAATTTTGTGTTATGGACAGGGCAAGGGGCAGTTATGCCTCTGTATGTCTTATGTGGACAGAGCAGAGGGGCAATGGGGTACCACAATATACCACAAAGCCACCACCCTATTTGTAGCCTAAATATATATGTAACATTTCACAAAGCAGATGAGTTAAATTTTATTTTTAAAAAAGATGCAATACAAACCAAATGTAACAATTTGCCTTGCTGCAGTTCTTTGCCCACAATTTACTTCCCCCAGTGCTGTCATCATATTTCTAAGAACATGCCACTTTCAGCTTTTCCATGTGTCACTTGTACTGTGAACTCTTTAGAGGTTTTATTCATGAATCAACTCCTCCACAATACTAAAAGAAACCTGGTTTGTCTCTGAAGTCAGTTGATATTTCAGTTAATTTGGATTGTGAGAACTATCAGCAGTAGCACATTCACTTTCGGTGCTCAGTTCTTTGAGTTCATGCTGTGTATTTCCAGGGAAGAATCAAGCCACCCATCTGCACAGCTCCAGTTGCATCAGGGAGACTCCACTGAATCTTTAGCGGGTGAGGTTCTGGCCCTATCTACTGAGAAAACTGGTTAAATTATGTCCAGACTTTTGCAATGCCAGCTCTTCCTCTCAAACCTGACACTTCTGGGGGAAGAGGGAGGGGGGTTTCCTGAGGCCTCTCATGTATCTGTCATGATTACAATCTTCTTAAAAAAGAAGTAGGATTACTATAATCCATTTACAAGCCTGTTAATAACAAAACAGAAACTGAAATTACACATGCAGTTATGAGAAGCTTGCGATTATTTTGTTTTAATTCAATGGCCGTTTGACAGGAATGAAATCCATTGACTCCAAAGATCGTTTGTTTAGAGTCTCTAAGGTGAAGTAATTTTAAAAAACCCCCACTTTTCTGAGTTTTCTTAGCCATGCCACTAACATGTCACTTGAATCCCTTGATAGAAACCCAATGTTGATCTAAACCAATATTACAAGTAAACAGTGATATGCTAGAAAAAGGCAGGTACTTTACTGGAAACTTCATCTAAGGGCTATTTCTGCTGCACAGGCTCCAAGCGGCTGCTGCGCAGTATTACGTGTTTATCTGAAAGGCTGCACCTTGGAGTAAAAGGAACACTATTGATTTTCGTTTTGAAGACTTACTGAAACTCTAGGAGGAAAGGGAGTGAGGGATTGTTAAGTTCCAGGTAAAGTAAAACAGAGATAATGACAACTGCAAGGAAGGCAAGTGGATGTGCAGCCAAAACGTCTGGCTGTCTTTAAAGCTGCATAATTTTGTACCAGCAAACTTCGGGGAAACAGTCAGGTTTGTTTTCCAGGAAGAGATAATAATGTAGAAACTTCTTTCTTGTGGCTTTCTTTAATCACATGGAGGGACGGTGTTAAAAGCCAAACGGCAGAGAGGTGCTCCCTTTGAACTACAGAAGCACAACATATCCCAGGCTCAGTTCACTAAACAGGTGCTTTACTGAAAGTTACAGTCATCTCTCGTGTTGAGCTGACCTCCTGTACCTCTTTTAAAAACAACTATTCTAGCAGCCTTTGCTGTTACAGTATTGTCAGGACAATTCAGTCGTGCAGAGGATATGTCACTGGAACTGATGTCAACATGCATGTGCCGTGTTGCATGTTTCTCTTCAAACGTTTCTGAGCATATTTACAATAGCTGTGCAAAATAATTTAAAATATTTTCACTAGCTGAGTAGTCATTTCTCCAGAACTGTGGCTAGGAACATTTTGCTGAGATACCATAGTATCCTATTTCATTTCAGATTTGTAGGTCACCGCTTGCTTCTAGTACAGATTGAGCTGTCATTTTTTGCAAATGTATGGGCACAAGTAAATCCCTGGTTTGTATCCCTTTGGTGTTTTCTAGGAGGACTGAGCTGTTTGGTACTGTGTGTGCTACACCTGGAGCACCTTTAGAAAGCACTGGTATGTACCAAGTTCTGCTACAAGAGAAACACAGACACATCTGTGATCCCAGCAAGGATCTTTGTGTCACAGAAGCACACTCAGCAAAAAAGTTAATTTGCCCCACCCCAGCCCTACAAGGACTGATTCAGTTGCATTGAAATGAGGTAGGACCATATTGTGACAGAGCAGTTGCCTTGCTAAGTTAGAACTAACAGGGGGGAATGGGTTATAGCTCCTTTTGTTCCCCCTCTGGCCCTCATTAAATCTATGCTATCTTCTTCAGCCAGAAGGAATATCCAAAGCACAGCAGGCTCAGGCACCCAGCATCAGCCCACACCTCCTCACTTCCCTACATGAGGAAGAACATCCTCCAATGAGACGCTAACTACTACCTTGAGGGGTTCCTCTCACAGATGCTGCTGTCTTACCTCAGGTATGTCCCAGACACCGAGATAGCTAAAGTTTTAAAAAAGTATCCTGTGGCAAGTCAAAAGGACTTAACAGCTCCTGTGCAAGAAAATAAGAGCATAGTGGTCTAAAGCCTACTCTTTCTTTTCAGGGAATTACCAACAGGCAGATTACAACAATTATTTTCCCAATGATAGTAACCAACCACATTTTCTGTGAAGATGACCTTGGATTCCAGTAAGTAAAAAAAGTTACTGTTGCTTTTTCCCCCTCCTTTTTTCCTCCTCCTTCCCATTTTTCCAAGAACTCAGTATTGTCTTGTATGTCTGCTGTGAACCAGTGATGGTCTGTATGTACGAGTCATCCAGACAAAGCCTTGTGGCAGTCCCTGCATGTGCCTGCTGTTGGCTTTGATTCTTCATGCAGTCAGAAAAGACTGCTGTTTCTTCCTGTTCTGAGGTCTAAATCTCCACAGATCGTTGGAAACTCTCTCCATTGCAAGTGGCCTTTGGATCAGATGCTTCGGCTCTCATTGAGCTGCAGCCCTTCCCCTGAGAGGAGAACTTAGATTCTGGAACTCAAACATCTGATGGCCCTACCCATGAAATCACAAATTAAATCTGACTTGATGCAGAAGATTAACTAAGCAAATGAAATAAGCAGTTTTCCTCCAATCCCTGCATTACTTTTTGTGCAAAGGAGATTTCTCAAATCCTTTTGAGGTCTCCTTTGAATTCAGTTTTGCAATCACGGTCAACTTTTTGCGGCAACTTCAACAGGAATTTTGCCTTAAAAATCTCTGAGAAAAACTGAGGCCTTAATTCTGTATTGCATATTAATGCAGTTCACCATAAACCTGAAGTGTTCTTGGATTAGTCATTGGCATGTTTTTCTCTTGGCAAGTCCTTTATTTTACTCTATAAATACTCAGCATTAATTATGCCTGTGTTGGGTTGGGTTTTTTTCCCCCAATGAAATCTAAATTTAGCATTTAAATTTTTATCTTATCTTTACTGGAGAATTAATGGAGAGAAAGTTTTTCACTCAACCCTTTCTTCAGCAGGCTTTTCATATCAGTAAGGCCATTCCCTTTTGTGACAGAAGCAGCAAAGTGGATCACTTCACATGTTTGTGTACTCCTACTGCTGTTCTGCACCAGTTCTGACATTTCTTGGATGCTTTTTTTTAGCCATTTTAGCTCTTTAATTTGAAATGACTGGATTTATTTTTTTTTCCACAAGACAGCAGGTTGTCTTGGCTCTGGAAGGGTTCAAGAGCCACCATAAAAGATGAGGTGGGATTCCATGGCCCAGGAGCAGGGATGGTTGGAGAGAAAGTCCAAGTTGTGGGGGAAGTTGCTGGACACTCTCAGCTGTCTGTGACACCACACTCTTGAGTTTTTTCAAAAACCACCCTGCCTACATTGTTTCTATCACAGAAAATACACAGCCGGCAGCCTTCTACTTACTGTCTCACAGGAAAGAGCTAAAATTACTGAGAAAAATTTCACTTTCAGAAATACAAAATATAGATAGGGACTGGATTTACTTACTAGGCTTGACCAATTGCTGAGAGGACACATTTTGATTTAGAGCAACTCGAAGGTTATACTTGCCATGCTGTTGAGGGTCTAGCTAGTTGGACTAAGTCCTTCAGGTTACCTTTAACACTCCAGTTCAGTGTGGGCTACATAAACAGTATGGATGAGCCTGCTTTTTCTGGGTGTCTTCTACCTGCTTATCAGTTTTGGTTTGGAGGGTCAACCACTCAGCACAATGTATGCGTTACAGGAGTGTACTGAAGGCACTGTAGTGTTTATGTAACTCTAGGAGGAAGATGGAAAGACTTATCTAGTGTAGGTAGAAAGAGGAGCAGGATCTGCCATGTACGAATGGTTAAAGGAATTACCTTATAGCTCCTTCGATGAAATGAGACCCATTTTTACTTCCCATGGGTAAATGCGTTTGCCCTACCAAGTAAGGACTTCAAAGTGTATCAAATCACCATTTTAGGAAAGTCATGGAAATTTCATATAGCAACATCATAATGAGTGAATGGGCACCACTTCCCCAGTGTTAAATATTTCCATCATTCCTTTCAAACAGCGTCAGCAATCTCTGCTTTGGCTCTCACTTACCTGAGTCTATTCCCATTGTCTCACCAGGTATAGGAAGAGTCATCAGCCCATCGCATGTCTATGTGTGCTTATCTACACCACACACATCTCTGCTCTTTTGCTTTTTCCCAGTCGCTGGCAGCATGTTTCAGCTGATAAAGGTGCCTGGGAAGTTATGTCCATGGCAGGTAGATTCAAGCTTGCCAATCAGTAGCTGGGTGGCTGTATTTAGACCATTATCAAGTCAAAATGAGTAATGCCTTCTGAAAGCCAGAGTAGGTTGCCTCAGAGCCAGCTCCCCCTGGACTACATAACTTCTTACAGGTGCCAGTATAGACACAGGGCAAGGGAGTCTACCTACCTCTGCCCTTTGCTGCCATCCAGCTCCAGCAAGTCTGTACCTGCCCCCTCTCCTTCTGAAATGACAGGGCAGATTTCACAACTTATCTAAAACCAATTCTGGAAATCCCACAGGAGGGAGACACACAGATAGGGAAATGTCATGATAGTTTCCTTATAGTTTCTTCTCAGGAAGAGGGGAAAAATCCCCGACTCCTTACAGGTGGGGTCATGGCCCCCTTCACCTCCAGATTTTCCAGCTTTTTAAGGGTGAGGGAGCCAGGACAGCCACTCTTGTCACTCTGTCCTTTGCCTTGCTTACTTCCAGCCTGGTTGGAATGCAGTAGTTTTACAAGACTTCTGAAGCCAGCAGAGTTTTTTCAAAAGGGGATTCCCATCTCACAGTTGTGTGTGAGTGCAGGTAAACTCCTTAACTATCATTGGGATGTGGAGGAGAAAATGGGTTTGTGATGATTTCCCTGCGCTGCCCTGTGTAGTTCTCTGCAAAGCCTTATTTGTTCACATAGAGCAACTGAGCCCCTTTGCATAGGAGCTAGTAACTAGGTATTGGTCAAAAATCCAGCTGTTAGAATTATAGGGCATTAATAGAATATAATACACAAATTTCTCTCTGCTTTCCTCTTCCTGCATCGAGAGAGAGCAGTGGCCTTCATGGGACAAGGTGTCCTCCCTGTATACCAAATTCTGGCATTGAGGAAGGGTCTCGACATAAGGCTGTTGTCTGCTAGCTGGAGAGAAGAAGCTGTGCCACCGTTGGGAGTGTGTCTCCATGATCCACAGCAGATCAGGTCATTTAACTGCACAGTCATCAGTTGCAAAGCATGTGGCCACAGAGCAGAAATAAGTCTACATGGAACAGCATAAATGTATGATGTATTTCTGTAGGGGACTAACAAGAACTTCAAAGAAGGGGCCTTATCCTCAGCATGCGAGGCTTAACAGGTGTTTCTTAAGTCACATGGCAAAGCAGTCATCCAAATGACCATACCTAAGCCTGAAGTTCCTTGTGCGTTAGGGAAGGCATCTTTGAATTAAAGAATTAAAGGACTGCAATTATGTGAGTAAGAGCATTCTGTGAAACGGAGGAATGGAAGAAGGAAAAACCCTTGATAAGAC